TTTTTTTTTTTTTTTTTTTTTTTTTTTTTTTCGTTTGCCATCTCACTCAAAAGGATCGAGATTTCTTTGGTTTAGCGAGATTTTTCGGATTTTTATTTTTGATTAAAAATTTTTTGATCACGTTATTTAATTCTTGAAAGCTTTAAATCCTTATTATGGATTATCTTAATCTATCTATTTCTCGATCCAGATATTGTTCTTTCTTTTTAACATAGGTGACAGAATTAAAATATATTCGTTTGTATTAAAAAATAAATAACAAAAAGAAAAAAAGAAAATACCTAAATGAAATGTATATATATATATATAACTTTAAAAATTATAAAAAAAAAAAAAAAGAAAAAAACTCGTATCTTTTTATCACATTCGTTTTTACTGAATATCGTATATATCTTATCATTGTATGAATTTTTTTAAATATATTTTATAAATACATTCGAAGAATTCAATCGTTTATGATTGGCATAATTTTCCTTTTGAAAGATTTAACTAGATGGCTCAATCTCTAAGAATTCCATATTTTTTCTTTTTTAACATATTTCTTCTCTCTGGATCATTACTTAATATGAAGGAAAATTCGATTTTATTTAGATACAGTTTACTTTTCATTGATAAAACAAGAATTTTAAAAAAACAAACGCGCAGAGAATGCACACCATATTTTATACGATTGTTCTTCTAAGCATTTTTAACAAAAATGCTTTAAAAATCACGTTTCTTTTATATTATTTCTTTAGATTTTCTTAAAGTTTCGATTTTCTTTTAGTTTCGTTTGTTGTTCTTTCTTTAAAAATTGATCCATTCTTCAGCGATCGATTATAACATACAAAAATAATGAGATTGATTCTCTGATCTTTGATCAAAGAATCTTTTTCATAAAAATTTTCATGCTTTTTTTGATAAAAAGATCGAATCGTTCTCTTCCAAATTAATACTTTCAGAGTGATTGAAGTGATACGAGTTAATATTAAAATTTCGATAAATAATTATTGAAAGAATTTAATATATTGAACTTGAATAGAACATTCAAAATTCTTCATTTGAAAAATAATCATTATACTTCAATATTTATGTCAGACAAAATTGTAGGATTCAAAGTAATTAATTAAAATTAATATTTTTTTGTTTTAGAATTATTATTTCTTCTTTAATTTTATTTTTCGAAATGAATCTCTTAGATGTGAATAATCAGGATTGCATGAATAAATAAATGATCAATTTTCAATCGCGTATCATAAATAATATAGATGAAGAATTTAGAACTTAATATAAAAACAAAATATCACATAAGTGTACATAAAAATTGAAAATATCGAGAAAGTAATTTATAAATTTTATTTTATAAAATGTATATTAGATTTAATTAAAAAAAAAAAAAAAAGAAGAAAGTCCAAAAAATAAAATAAATAAACCGAAAATGAATATTTTTGAGTATTTTTTTTAATAATTAATTTAAAAAAATAGAACTTGATAACGAATCTTCTTATGATAGTTTATCTTTATTTAAAGCTTTATATATTGAAATAAATAAAAAATTAATAATTACGAAATAAAAATGTATCGAAACGATACTTTGAAAGGGAGAGTGCGTGAAATTTTAATCAACGATCGGAGAATTAACAGACAGAAATCGGAAATCGTAGCTGTAAGAATGAAGAAAAAAACATACGAGTTAAATTAATATAAAAAAAAAGAGCACAAAATTATTTCAAAATATAAATTAATAAAAAAAAATATAAAGATAAGGATAGTTTTAATCAAAGCGAGTTAAAGAAAAAAGAGGAAAAAATAAGATAATTCATCTGCGTTTCTTAAAAATTTTTGTAAACGAATTATATAATTATAATTATAATTTGGTATTATGATTTTTAATAATATATATGTGTTCGAACGAGCGTGCATAATTCCTGCTAAAGGAAGAATCATGAATATGTAAAGACATCGAAATATATCTCGCTTGTAAGCAAAGAAATAACGAAAGAATGAAAATTTTCAAGAAAAGAGAAAAAAACATCATTGTTTTGCAAAAAGACTTTTTTTTTTATATATATATATACTTTATCTTTTTCTTTTTTCTTCTTTTTTTTTCGTTCTTTTTCTATCGATCGCAATATTTTTCTATCGAACATGAATAATAACCATTTTGTAGGATTATTCCACACAAAAATGTTGTCCGATATTAATTATACAATACATATATAAATATACATATACATATACACGCATACATAAAAATATTGATTTTTTTATATTTGAAAAAAGAAAAAGAAATAAAATGTATTTGTCTGATACATCACTATATATGGTTATTATTCAAAGGATAAAAAACAAAACACAAAAATAATATCCTATTACCTCTATGCGAATATTGACAAACTCGACGAGATTACGTT